TTCACACCTCAAGCTAATACATGATTGGTTAAATGCTTTTATATACGCATTTTAATATATCAGTTAATTTTAGTTAGTCTTCCTTCTTCAAGCATCTTGCTGAGGTTTTCTTGTCTGCCTTTGCATCCTGAACTGTCTGCTTTTGAGCATGTTCTTCTCTTCTCGTGTCCTTCAAGGGCATGGTGACCTTACTCAATTTCTAAGAAAGCTGGATTGTGCATATGTTGTACGTGTTCATTGTCCTGCAAAAAACTCTCAACACTCCCGTGTCTGCACTCAGTGCCTAAATCATCCTTTTTCCCCTCTTTATTTTCCAAGGCACATGAGCAGCTCTGGAGTTGTTCACAATGCTGTCAATGCCTGCAGAGGTGGTATTAAGACACATAAGCTCAAAAGCCTTAAGAAAGAGGAAATTTTACATTCCAGTGTTGTGTTGAAGCCCGAACTTTGCAGCAGAGGAGCCAAATGCACTTTGGCAAATAGTTTTAGTGGTTTGGTCTGTGGGAACAAAGGGAATTTCAAACTGAAAAGCCCTTGGAGCAATGAGTCACCATGGGACAGTTGTGAATACAAGAACTGTTAGAGATCTCAGGACACCCCTAGAAAAGGACATGGGAGGCAGATAGTTGGAAATACCCAAAAAGAAGATGTTTTCTGGTGCTGCAGGGTGTTCTAAGCTCAGTTGCTGCCATTTTACAAACCCTATTAACCACCAGGAGCAGTGACCAGTGACAGAACAGTGAAGGAGAGGGTTCTGCCCAGAGGTGGCCAAGCTGCTCCTCTTGTTGCCCAGAGAAGCTGTGGCTGCCCCTGGGTCCCTGGAAGTGTTCCAGGCCAGTTTGAACTGGGCTTGGAGCCACCTGGGATGGTCCTGAGTGTCTTCAGCCTGACACCAGAAATGTTCACCAGTTGGGTTTTTTTCAACAAATCAAGGAGTTCAGTATTGTCAGTGGTGTTTTCTGTCCCAGAGCCACCTTCAATTAATATCAGTGATTAATCACTCTCACCGTTGGTGTGTCCCAAGGGACATCCCTGCTCTTTAATTATTCCCATGCTTACAGAAGGATAAACAGCTCTCACTCTGAAAAATGGCATGAAAGCCATAGTGAAAGCACTGGGAATTGTGGGAATCTGTTCTGATCCTGTGCAGCCTCGGGTCTCCACCTCAAAACCTACATTATTATCAATAAAAATCACATTTCAGTCCATGTAGTGCATAAGGAGTGACAAATGGATGGCAATGGTCACAGTCAGAACCATGTGTGCCCTCTGCCTCCTCCTCAGAGGGACCAAGAGGTGCTCAGGGTGCTGAGGGGAGCAGGAGAAGACAAACCTGGGCTTTTTATTGTGTTTTGCCCCTGTGAAGAAATCTAGGCTGGGAAAGAAGAAAATGGGAAAGCTCAGTCCCCTACAGGGACAGCTGCTTTGTCTTCAGATCCCCCCAGGTGACATGCACTGAGAAGGAGCTGGGTGACAGGTGTGGGATCATCCCCTTGAATCACAGAATCATGGAATATTTGGGGTTGGAAGGGACCTTAAGGCTCATCCCATGGGATGGGACCTTTTTCTCATCCCACCAGGAGGATGAGTAAAAGTTGTATTTCTCCAGCAGCAGTTACCTGTGAGAGGGGATTGCTGCTTTTCTCACCTTCCTTCTCTGGGGTGGAGCCACAAAAATGTGCTTGGAGCCCTCCCCACCCTTCACCTCCACCAGCTCTTGCTGCCAAATTTGCACAAACATCATCATCTTCAGCTCTCCCAGCTCCCTGCTCCAGCTGGCGTGCGATTGCCAGCTGGGATTGGGCAGGCAGGGAAACACGTGGATACACAAAGCCCTTAATCTCTGCAGAACTAAGCCAAAATTACTTTGATGTATTGGCTTTTAAATTGCTGCCTTCAGTGCTCACGGGAGCTTTTCTTCTTATCTCCTCAGCAAAACGTGCAAGCAGCTCCTGACCACCTCTTTTCTCTGCTTGAGTACTCATATCCTCCTATTTTTTTCCCCTCCCTGAATCCTCTTACAGATGTTTTCCCAGGTCTCTAAGCATTTCCATATCCTGTTTACTTGCTGCTAAAGGTGTAGTGCTGCAAACAAAATCTGCCTCTGGAAAGAAGGGAGGAGCAATAAGAAATAAGATGTAAGTTAGGACAAAAAATTAACTTTGCCAGCTACAGACTCAAGCATAAACGTTGAGGTCCTTCAGCCTGGAAATGCATCACTTTGATGTTCTAAACCCAAAAGAGCAGCTGTGGCTGCCCCTGGATTCCTGGAAGTGTCCCAGGACAGGTTGGATGGGGCTTGGAGCAACCCAGGATGGTCAAAGGTGTCCTTGCCCATGGTATGGGGTGGAATGGGATGATCTTTAAGGTCCCTTCCAACCCAAACCATTTTGGGATTCTACAAATACAGAATACTATAACAGAATGAATATTTACACCAATGCTGGAAAGCTAAAAAATCAACATGTCCCATTGAGCATATGCATTTTTATTTTGAGTGACTCCAAAATATTCCCATCAAATCCACAATCAGAACACTCCCTGAAAACCCAAATACCCTCAGAAAAGAACACAGCATCAAGATGTTTTCATCAGACCTAATTGAAGCCTGGAAATGTTAAACAGACGTGCCCTGTCTCACCCTAATTATTGAACAGTGGAAGAAGTAACAGAGATTAATTCACTTTACTGAGTTTTATGGTGTTTTAAATAAGGAGGGAAAGGTTTTACCTGCTTATTTCTGGTCTGAACTTGCAGAAGTGATGCTCCACATAGGAACACGAGCCTCTTTCATGCTCTCAATTTACAAGCAGGGAAATTGAGGCACCAAGCACAAACTTATCCCCAAATCCATTGAATAAATAAAGAGCAGGATGAATCAAAGCCCAGAGCAGCAGTGCCCTGCCTTCATTTAGCACAGACCATGATCAATTTGCAAATGCTTCTGATGGAAAAGACCTACTGGGTCATTTTGCAGGCCCCTGTAAGCCCAGGCTTTTTCCCTGCCATGTGCTGGAGACAAAAGTGCTTTATACAACCCCTACATTAAAATAATTTAAGCAGGAGGACTTCTCTCATTTCCTCTGGGGGAAACAATTCCGCAGCTGAAGAGATTGCAACATTAGGAAATATTTCCTGACGTCCATGGCTTCCAGAATCTGTTGATATATTATTAATAGAAAGGAAAATAAATATAGGTATTAATGCCAGCAGACACTGTCTGCTACTAATAGCTGTTAAAGTAATATATTCCCCTTGTTTTTAGCTCTTATTAGTCTTTTTGCAAAGGGTTACAAGACCCTTATGCATCCATTAGCCAGTCAGCCATGTGAAATTAATGTGGAGCAATTTTCATAAGCATTACTCAGAACTAATAATAATTAAGCATTATTTTCTGCTCAGATAACACAGAAAATAAAGCCTGACTTTTATGCCAAGATGGGTTTGCATTAGCTTAAGGTAAATGAATTAATTCTCATTTACAAGGCTTTTCTGCCAGCTAGCCAGAAAATATCAAGGTAATTAAAACCAATTTGTGAGGTTCTGTCCCATTGCACATTCACTGGGTTTTATCATTGCTGCAAATTGCAGGTGCTTTTATGCAAAGGTGGGACATGAAGGGGACTTTGCTCCCTCTCTCCTTCCCCATCACTTCCGAGAAAAGCTGAACCTTCCTTGTGAACAGCAGAACATGTTTGGAATGCTGGAGATTGATAAAGGACCATGTGTAGAATGGAAGGATGTGGAGGACCTGCTCAGGCTGGGATGTGGAGCTGGGATGTGAAGCTCTCAGCAATTCAGGAAAAAAACACTTCTAATAGAGTGGAAAAAAAATAAAATCTATTTCCTTTTGCTTTGCCATTGACTTGCAAAGGATTAATTTTGATTATTTATAAGACTGAAGGGGTTTTGTAGGCAGCATTTTCTGGATAGTCCCCAAACACTTCTCTCATCACAAAATCACAAAATGGTTTGGGTTGGAATGAACCTTAAACCCCATCCCAACCCCTGCCACGGTAGGGACACCTTCCATTATCCCAGGTTCCTCCAAGTGGCCTTGGACACTTTCAGGGATCCAGGAGCAGCCCCAGCTTCTCTGGGCAACCTCTTCCAGTGCCTCAGTGGTTCTGTCCCAGAAGTTTGACAGCACCTGAGGAGGGGCCGAGCTCTCTGTGGGTGCTCTTAATAAAAATAAAATTAGTTAAAATTAGACCAAAATAAATTAGTCCAGCTGATCTGTAAGATTCAAAAGCCCAGAGCTATCCCACAAAATCTAATGATAACGAGGGAGCGAATCTCTTCCTCTGGGGTTCAACTTCCCAAGGGGATCAGCACCTTCAGATGCCACATCTCCACTTGGCATCTGAGCTTAGCAAGTTGCTGAGTCCAGTGTGACCCAGCAGTGTGGAATGTCTGTGTTTTCCAGGGGATTATGGCCCTTCTTGCCCAAATCCTGCCTCCTTCATTTCATTTCTCCACCCTCTGCCTCCCTCCCTGTCTCATTGGGACATCTCCCTTGTCACAGTCATATTCTCTGGAAAAATCCCTTTACCCAGGATTCTTCTCCTGGGAAGCTGAGAAGCTTCAGAGAAAAAGGAAAACAAATTCTTTTCTCATTGCTTCTCCTGTGTTTTGCTGCTTTGGAATGTGGTTGGAGATTGTTTATCCAACAGGTGATTGTTTCATTGGTTTCATGTGAATTGTTTTGACTCATTGACCAATTGGGGCCAAGCTGTGTCAGACTCCAGAGAGAGTCACGAGTTTCACTATTACATTTTTAGCCTTCTGTAAGCATCCTTTCTGTATTCTTTAGTATAGCCTTGTATAGTGTTCTTTAATATAATATAGTATCGTAAAGTAATAAATTAGCCTTCTGAGAACATGGAGTCAGATTAATTATTTCTTCTGCCACAGGGCACCCCAAAATTACAATACTCCTGTTGGTCGCTGTGTCCATGTCAGTGACATCGAGCAGGTTGGCCTCAGAAAAAGGAGTGAAGTGGCAGTTCTGACTTTTATTTTCAAAAACCTTCTCTCAGGGTAATGTAATTGCAATTAAAAACATGAATAAAAGGGGACAATACCCCAGAAACACCACCTGTGTTCCAGCCCTGGAACGAGCAACCCTGAGATGCGCTCCACTGTCCACACCCTCAGTGAAGAAAGGTTTTCCCCTTATGGCTGTTTCCTTCTCAATCCAGTCCTGGTAGCTGTAAACAGGTGTTAAAATCCTGTGGTTTGGGTTTCCTCCACTGATGATGCCGACCTGGAACCACTTCATGGTGTTCCAGTAGCTGCAGACCACAGGTCCCCCGCTGTCCACCTGTGGCAGAAGCAGGAATGTTACAGCTGGAAACAGCCTCAGGTCCCTCAGAGCAGCCTGAGTGGGAAAATCAATCTCTGTCACAGGTTCGTGAGGATTTGGGGAGGGGAAAAAAGGGAATTTGCATTCGAAATTTCGCAGCTCAGCGCTGAGATCCTGCAGAATAAATAGATAAGAAGAGGTAAGAGGAAGGGATCAGTCCCAAGGTCTGGCTCAGTGCACTGAGTCCCTGTCATTCCCAGCCTTTTCCACGTGCTCCTGAGGCCCCAGGAGGATACCTGGGACCTGTCAGCAGGAGACACCATCCCAGAGAGAAAAGGAACATTTGCTGTGACTGCTCACCCAGTCCTTGTCTCCTCTGCAGAGCTGCTGCGTGGAGGTGCTGGGTACCTGCCACTGTGAATTTTGGGGGCTGGCAGCCAGGAACTGGGCAGCAGACAAACAATAATCCTGACAAATCCTTCTTGAAGCCACAGTCACTTCCCTGAAAACTTTCCTGCTGCTGCAAGGACAACCACCACTCACCCAGCGTGGGCAAGGCTTCAAATGCAGGTTGCAGCCACCTCAAAAAGAGGAATAGTCTCCTGCTGGCTGCTGTAGCTGGAGCACCAAGAGCACATCCAGCTCTGGAATCTCTGGACACAAACCCAGAGATAAGAGAAAGCAGCACAAAATCCACCCAAGGCTGGTGCAACACTTTTCTGAGGAAAGGCTGTGTGAGAGCTGGAGGTGTTTATCTGGAGAAGAGAAGGATCCAGGGAGAGCTCAAAGCCCTTTCCAGGGCCTAAAGGGGCTCCAGGAGAACTGGAGAGGGACTGGGGACAAGGAATGGAGGGACAGGACACAGGGAATGGCTTCCCACTGCCAGAGGGCAGGGATGGATGGGATATTAGGAAGGAATTGTTCCCTGTGAGGGTGGTGAGGCCCTGGCACAGGGTGCCCAGAGAAGCTGTGGCTGTCCCTGGATCCCTGGAAGTGTCCAAGGCCAGGTTGGACGGGGCTTGGATCAACCTGGGATAGTGGAAGGTACTAGAGGATTTTTAAGATCATTTCAAGCCAAACCATTGTGGGATTCCAGGACATCTTCAGTGCTGTCCTTCATCCCTGCTGTAAAGAAATTTCCTTCCACAGTGGGCTTGAATCTTTTTTCCACCTTTTGTAACCAGCACTTGTGGTAAACAAATTCAATACAAATCCATTTCCCAAGACAGCAAACTTTACTGGGAAATGTTGTCCTTCCCTGTTTGCACACTACTTTGGGAAACATCTTTGTCATTAATGGATGAAACCCCTTCTGCCAGCAGCTACCCTGAGCTAACACACATTAATTAATGAGCAAGGAAGGGGCTGAAGTTCCCTGTGCAGCTCATCAGCACTGGCTGAAGTTTATGGCTGAATTCCCACTCTAGTAGCTGGAGGGCTCTGGTCATTAATATTCTTTTTTTTTTCCTTTTTTTTTTTTCCAGTTCAGTATTTATTCAGGAGGTAAAAATTAAGATAAATGCAGAGGAAATGTTTGTAGAATCACAGAACATCCTGAGCTGGAAAGGACTAACAAAGATTGTAAAAATTAAGATAAATGCAGAGGAAATGTTTGTAGAATCACAGAATATCCTGAGCTGGAAAGAACTAACAAAGACCAGAGATTTAGGCTGGAAAAGACCTTTCAGATTGTTGAGTCCAAACATAAAATCAACACTGTTAGTTGTTATTATAGCCACATCCTTGCGTCTCAAGCAGTGCTGCTGGACCCTCTTCAGACTCAGCATCTAAAAGAGGTTTCCTGACCACATTTGAGCCAAGAATTCCCATGAAAACCACAGAGGTGACCTTGGAGCTGCGCATTGCGGGCGTCCTTGGCAGTGGCATCCTGTTGGGATGAATGAGCATCCACACATGATTCCATTCCCGGGATTTCACTGCGGATCCCCTCGGGGCAGGAAGGGACGAGGGCATTATCCTGGGGGTGAGAAGAAGGAGCTGGGAGCCTCCCACATGGGGATAACGAGAACGGGAGCCCAGCACGCTCAAAAAATGAGTTTTTCAGCACCGGCCGAGCCCCTGCACAGATCAGTTTCAGCCTCCAATTTGATTTGGAGTGAATTCCTGATGCCCTGTGTTTGTCCCCGCGGGAATTGTCGCATCGCGGTCAGGGCTGGGAAAGCCGCAGCAGGGCAGAGATGTGACTTTCCCGAGGTGTCAGCAGAGCCAGAGATCCCCATTTAAACCCTGCTTCCCTCTTCAACCAGATCCTCTCTTCCCCTCTTTTCCTCTTTAACCACGTCCGTTTGGTGTCGGCACTCAGGACATTCCTCTGGCTGCCCTGGATGATTGGAGACCCTGGCAAGGGGCTCAGAGACCTTGGCACGGAGTCAAAAACACCCATGCCTTTGATTTTAGCCCATGGAAAAAAATCACCAGCTTTGTGTGAAGATTTACAAGCCACAAGAGTTTGAGTAGAATGATTGTTAATTTGTTGCAGGGTGAAAAAGTAGAATTTTGGGGTTTTAGAATGGGGGTTCAAGAGGCAAGATGGAGGAATTTGGGTGTGTTCTGTCCTTCCTCTCCTCCTTCTTGTTCTCTGTCTTCTGCTGGGATGGTGACACTTTTGGATTGGTTTAGAGTAGCGACAGACTGTCTAACATAGGTGATAGGTATTGGAAAATTATTGTAAATAAAGTACACGTAGTTCTTAGTGTAAAAAGTTAACGCCACCCCAAATGCACAGACTGTGCCTCAGCCAGAGCTGCAGGACAGATCTCAGCAGGTCAGAGAAAGAATGTAATAGATCAGAAAAATAAACAACCTTGAAAAGCAGAACGAACAAATCTCGACTTCTTCAGGCATGGGACTGGGAAAAAAGAGTCTTTCTAATACCTCGGGGTCATCTCAACCTCAGAAAACCAAGAGTTTGGTTCCCTTCCCGGTTGGTGAAGAAATGGGGATGTTTGGGGAATCAGTGATTTAAAACTTGAGCAGAGAGGGAGTTCAGGAAAGCTCTGAGCAGCCCAGAGAGCAGCTGCAAATGCATTTCCCTAATCCACAAGCCCTGGGATCCAAATCCTGATCTCTTTCCACACGGGCTGAGCTGCTGTGCTTCCTGGGTACTACTTCTCACATGCCATTTCTCTTAACTTCAGCTATTTAACATGAGGATTTTATCACAAAATGGGCCAAATCATCCTCTCCCGTGTGATAATCTCACATAATTACAGCGGCAGCCCGGATGAATCAGGAGCCTGTTTTTTATAGGAGTAAAGATGGAGAAAATAAACTCGGTCCTCGGACATTTCTGAATATCCCTGTATCCACCTTAAGCCTTCAGGAATGCTGGCCCAAGGTTTTCCATCCTTGTGTAGGAGAGGGTGTGGGAGGAGCGAGTTTTTGAGTGCTGGGACAATTATCTCAGCTCTGTGATGCTTCCAGTAACACTAATTTAATGAACGCTCAGGTTAATGACTCTGAGGATGGAAGAATTATTAAAGGTTGCCTTTTCAGGCTCCTGTATCCTGGTGCTGAAACAATCCTGGTCAGCAACACACACCAGATACCTGCTCCTGCTTTTCCCTCTAAAGTGCCAAGTTTCTGGATGGGAAAAACCAAACTAAAAATAGCAGCTTTGCTTCTGTTTCATGTTTCTTGTCATCTCGAAGATGAGTGAAAAGCAAACGCAACAAATCAGATCTGGTGCTGAATTCCTGCCTTAAACAAGTTAATCCTCCCATTAGGAGAGGTGAAGGCAATGATACGTTCACTGATAAATAGCTGTGGGTTGTATAAAATCTGTCACTGCCTAACAAGGTGCTTTGTTCACTGAAGCTGACCAAAAATTTCATCTTTTTCACTGCAGCCAAAACCTTTTTTTTTTTTTTTGAGCATCAGGAGTCTTTCTGCTGCCTTTAGTGGGCTTTGGATCAAAAGTGTAATCTCTCTTTTACATTTGTATTCGTGTCTGCGGCACAGTCATTGATCAGAACAAACACGTTCAGCCACATAAATCTTCCGAGGTGGGAGAAGCTCTGGGGGTGGGAGAACAACTCATCTGATCCTCATTAGGTGGATGCACAATCCCTGCAAGTCATTGCTGGTTTCATTTTCATGTTGGCGAGCTCTGTGCAAATTGAGGGCAATCAGCACAGGAATAACAACACTGGGAATAACAACAGTGCCCATCAGAGCTGCCCTGGCTGCTGGAGGCAGAGGCTTTGGCAAACATCATTTGCCCAGATGTTTCCAGCTGTCTTCAAAGTGGGAGGAAGGAGGTTGTGGCCACATTTATGTGCAGGTGTCAGAAAGGCACCAGGGCAGCTGGACTCCTCTCACACAAACCCTTTGAGAACCTTCAGCTCCTCTGTCCCTCCATCCCCTGGCTGGAAAATGGGAGAAGATGACCCAAATTCACCCACTGTGACGTCAGCAGGGCCATTAGTGACTGCAGTGGCACAGAGAGTGCAGATGCCTCTGGCCCAAGCCCTGTGGCCCAGACTCCTGTCTCTGGCTGTCATCTGCAGCAAGTACTCAGGGGAGGAGGAGGAGGAGGAGCAGGACAAGTATTTACAGAGTTGTATTTACATCCCAGTGGTTAATGGCCTCAGAGAGATCTTCATCCAGGAAATTGCCTAATTGCTTTTTGAATCCATTTATCCCTTAGGATAAATACCCACAACATCCTGGTCATCGACTCCCATAGTTTAATTATCTGATGGAAGAAAAAACACTTCCTTCTCTTTGTTTTAGGTCTGCTGCCTGATAAGGCCATCTGACACCCCTCCTTCATGTCCTTGGAGCAGCCGTGACACCAGGACAGCTCTTGACTCCTCTCCATGCTGCCCACGAGGTTGGGAATGTGTCACATCCCCATCAGACATCTCTCCTGCAAGCCTCACAGTCTTGCTCTGCTATTCCCTGTGCTGTCAGGAGCTCTTCCATGTCCCTGTTCATCCTTCCTGTTCCACTTCCCTCCTTTTCTGAAATGACCACTCCTTTCTCAGATGGAATGG